GCCTACATAGCACTGAAGACTCATCTATTCTCAGGGCAGCCCTCCATTTAATAACGAAGGTGCTGCGATACAAGCAAAGTTGTGCACGCACAGATTTTTAAAAAATCAGAGGTGCAAACATTTTAACACACGTAGAACGCTGAAACAGTAGGAAAATGCGGGATGCCACTGGTAGGGAGGAGAAATGCTGATTGTGTCCTTCATAAGTGAAACGACAGGCAGGGCCATCTAAAGGCACCCCCACCACCATTTTGTCCAGCAGCTAAAATTACTTAGCTGAACGACACACTCCAGCCTGGCAAGAAACTTGCCACTTGCTTTGTAAAAGCAAGTGCTTTGCTTGCTTTGTAAAAGCTGGGCAAGGGTTATTTCAAAGGGTGGACCCAACCCACCTACTTTGCGACTGGGTTTGTACGAGCCACGACACCATCAGACCAAAAGAGAATGGGGCTGTTCATACAATAGGACAGCCCATCATGCAGGGAGGGTTAACCCATTGGGAGGTTGTGGCGCATGTGGGAGGTGTACAGGCGTCATTTGAGGGTGGCAAAATCCACATTAGCCAAGTTTCTTTGACGTGACAGCGTATGGCATATTCAAAATGGCAGTGCATATTCAAAATGGTGGTTCTGTATGTCCTGTGCATGCCACAGCCTCACAATGGGTTAAGTAACACACTGTGGGCTTTCCTGTCATGGAAACAGGCCCATTATTTTGCTGTCTCAGTATCTAACTTTTTTAATTTAAGTAAACAGAAAGCCAGAAAAACCGTTAAAGGATGGATGGATGGACAGAAAATGCCAGAACAATACAGCCAGTGAGTAAGTGGAAAAGCTCAGGCAAAGGCGGCTTCCTCTGATCGACACAGACAGACAGACACACACACACACACACACACACCACATGGGCCTGTTCACACATCATGCTGCTCAACTGAGAGCTAATTAGCAGAGGTGGCCATTTTGCATGGCCAAGCTGCTGCTACTTGTCATCTCATGCAAACTCCAGGAGGACAGGGTGTTGCCATTCTGAGGGTCAGAATGAACGCAGACCCCAGAGATGGGTTGTGCTGGGCTATAGGTGGTTCGTTAACCAAGCCAACAACTTGCCCTTGCGGAGTTTGTGCAAGCTGCAGCTGAGGGATCCTGGCATGCGCTGCAGCTCGCTGTGGCTTAACTACGCCACAGTGATCACGAGCACCCCAGTTCATGCGCCTCCTCCTACTGATGTCCAAGCTCTGGCCTTTGAGATGCAGAGGAAATGGAAGTTTTCGCTCTGTTTGGGGTAGCGGTTGTGCGGTCTGCCCTCCCTTTGGCTTCAGGGGAAATCTGAAATAGCCCATGATCTCTCGACTGCCCAAGGACCACAAGATTGCCATTTCGTTGGCAATTGTGCCTCACCACTTATTCAGGTGAGATGCACCTTCAGCCCAATAGTTCGTACCCTCAACATTTATATAATACAGATTTTTCTAAACATTTAGTCAGGAAGTATTGACCAGAAGGCAGCCTTTCTGCACTCTTTAACAACTTAATTAATATACTATGGACGGACCCATGGGCTTGTTCTTGACTCTAATTAACAGCAGATTTTTTACATAACTCTTGAGGTACTTTATGATCTCTTTAAAAGATGTTTTAAAGCCATTAAAAAAATCCTTCATAAGGAGTAGCAACTAAATCCAGCTTGTGTTTTGGTGACATCTTCTGGATGAAGTAGTAGCTGAACAGAACAACCAACACAAACTTTAGCTGCCTTCAGTTCTTTTTCAGTGTTTCTCAAGTTATTGTGTTTAAGTTTGGGCTGACGTGGATTCCATCCAGCTTCATTTCTATATGGCTGCGAACTCTAGTACATTGAAATCAGCAGGTAAGTCAGTTAAATTTTATTTACAAATTCAGATGGTCACTCTGAAGTATAAAATGCCTTCTGCCTATATTTCTCTCAGCAGCATTACAACCTTGCAAGCACAGCTTGGACTGGAGCGCAAGTAGATCTTAGACTGCAATGCAGCTGGAATTTATTTATAACCCAACTTTTTCCAACAAGGAACCCAAACTGGCGTACACAATCCCCCTCTTCGATTTATCCTAACAACAACCCTGCAAGAGTCATTGACTGGCCCGAAGTCACCCAGTGAGCTTCATGGCCAAGTGGGGACAAGGACCCAGATCAGCTGAGTCCTAGTCCAGTGCCATGCCACACATGCTGTCTGAGCAATGCCTGATCTCCCCTTGTGTCATTAACACTGGATCTTGGCCAGCACTGAACGTTGCTTCCATGGATTTATGTAATGCTTTACAGTGTGCTTCACCTATTCTACCTCAGCAACCATTACAACCACCGTGCAAGGTCCATAGGAATACAAGCAACTGGCATACTGAATCCAACCCATGGTCCAGCTAAGCCAGTCATGTCAGCATTAACTGGCAGGGGCTCTCCAGGGTTTTGCCAGGTGGTGTCCAGCATCAGGCCCAGGACCGTCTACCTGCAGAGCATGTGCTGCAGCACTGACTCATCTCCTGCGGTACCGTAGGGCAGGTCAGTCTCATTGGTGAGGCTCAGTGATAACAGTTGCCTGCTGTGACTCAACTGAGTTCATAATTGTGACAATATTTGAACCTTGGTGCTCACAGCTCAGCCTTTTAGGGCCAAAGCAGAGGCGATGTTATGAGAGTCTTATTTCATGTGCTCATTTTAAAAAGAGCAGATAACAGCTGCTGGGAAGGCTGATAATAATCAGAATAGCAGAAGCTATGGAGGAACAGTTTAAGTCTTTTCTATTTTGCTGCAGTCCTGATGAAAATTGCTTATTTGAAGTAGCTATCTGAATGGATAGGAAATGCCCTGGTGTGGTCAATGAGAGTTTTATTCTCAGCCAAATTAACACCTTTAGGACAGCAATTTCTATCTGGGACGCAGCAGCTGTTAAAAGGGTTAATTTCCCTATTTCCCCAGCTGTGGCATCTTGAACATTATCACCCCAGGAGATACTCCTTGCATTTTAAAAAACAGGCAAGCTACTTTTGAAATATGAAGAGCTTGACTCTACACCAGCTTTAACCTTTGTGTTTTGCCAGTTCTTTCCCATTCTTCTTGCCTATTTATGGTACCATGGGGCATCTAGCTAGTAAGAAATACTGCAGGTTTGGTTTTACTACACTAGTAGCATATTGTCACATTTTTACACTGCTTTAATCATGCTTTTCAAGACTGGGTTCACAACAGTCAAGATTCAGTCTATTGTATTTCTTCACATTTCTCGTTTGCCCAGAATGCTCTTAGCTGAGACTTGATTAGCTGAAGGACTACAAAACCTTCAGCTAATCACATTTTTATTTTTTTTTCATCCTTAGCTTTGCTAAGAAGCTTCCCAAAAAGCATGATTTTTATGAAAGGGAAGCCTTCACACAAGAAGGCTCAGATATCCTGCTTCATGTATGGATGGAAAGGTCAAGTCAGAAGGGATGGCTACAGACATATGGCCCTCGAGTCCCTTTCTACATGCTTTGCCACTTCATACAATTAATGCACCGGAAAACAGGCTAGTGCACTGCAAAAGTGTCCCCTTGTAGATGCACATTCTTCTGTGGTAAACCTTTAAAAGGATTCAAATTTCAGTTCAGACTCAGAAACTTCTATGAACAATCCCTGGGGAATCATTTCTCTTTTGAAGTGTCTGGCTTCTGTTTCGAACTTTCTACCATATTTAGTGACAGAAGATGGAGGTTTTGCAGTGGGACAGTCTAGTTATTTTCAGTATACTTTGGGAAATTACCTTCACAAGCCCACTTGACTGTGAAAGGGAAAAAGAAAGCCAACTCCTGTTAAATACTCCATTTCAAAAATGACCATGTGAACCATTAAAACAGCCAGGTGAAAAATGCTTGTGGTGTAAGATATGGAGCTCACAGAAAATACTGTTCAATATGGTCACACTTCAGGACAAGACACACTCATCTCTGTGTGTACTCCAGATGCACTGCAGTATAACTTTGAGACATTCTTTCTACTGCAAATAATTATTGTGGCCTCTACAGCATCTCTTAATGTCTAACTGTAATGACTCTGAGGTTTTAGGAAAGTGTTGTGCTGATTCTTTTCATTACTGAACCCTTGTTTTTGATAATTCTGGAAAAGATACTACTTGGTGGCTAGAGAAGTATAACTGACAGACAGAAACAGAATGATTGGGCTCAGATGACACACCAAGGCTCATTGCACGTTATTCAACCAAAGAAAAGTCATTGAGCCCATGGGTACCAAACTGCATCTCCAACACCCACTTGGGGTTGAGCTATGTGAACTTGCTGATTGTGGATTATGCAGGGGTTGTATAACCCATACTTGCCAGGTGTGCACATCACAAAACCCCCTAAGAAGGGCTTGCATATTCAAAATAATCACATGTGCTTTGCTTGTGGGGCCTTCATGTTGTGCAAACGGATCTGCTGAGTGAGAAACATACCTGTCCAATATGTTGGAGGAATATGTAAAGTAAGCATAAAACATTTAATTCAACCCTGAAAAGTGATACAGAGAAGTTAAATGTTCACACACAAAGGAAACTGTTGGTCGTTTCAACACCATCTTTCCCTCTTTCAATAGAAAAAATTGGGAACTCTGTTTTATGAATTAGAGAATTAGACTCAAAACACAGGCAACTGTCTACTTGCCAGTGCTCCAAAACATTCTGCTATAAAGCCACCAACCACAGCACTGTGTGATGGGACAAAGGCAGCATGAATTGCTCTGATTCCCTGATCAAGATCTGCTGTGGTGAACTCATTTGTCCATTCATTCAATAGACAGAGTAACTTCATATGGATATGGGATGCTCAGTCAGGCATCATTTTATTTGTCTTCTAACCTTCATTTTTCTTCCCTGATACTGTAGGGCCTACAGTCTTTCTGCTTTTGGAGAACGATGTGCATCCCACAACTTGCATAACATTTAACACAATAACCAATTTTTTAAACTAGGAACCACAAAGAAAATGTCTTGATTTTGTAACAAAATTTATTTTTGTTCTGTAGATACAAATCCAAACATCAAACAAACAGAGTGGAAAAATACTAGTAATTAACAATGAAAACTTTCATCATTTAATAAATAGAACTTTGGCATTCAAAATTCTAGCTGTAAACGCTACTTTAAAAAAAAAGATACAAAAAGAGGCAAGAATGACAGGCCTGAAGACATGAGCCAACCAGTGGCTCTTTAAAAATTAAAATTAAGAAATAACAACACTGAATGCATTTCGATTAAGTCATGACAACTCTATGTACACATGAGGTATTCTGAGTGGTTCAAAAATTGAACCCAATGTTGAAAAACCACCAGTCTTAGGAGACTGATCCAGTACACATCCACTGTGCTTTTAAAAATAGCCCCCTTTTCTCCTTGCCTTTGCCACTGATTATCAATGATATACTATACCCAGTATGTACACAATTTATACATTCTGACTGAATATTCCTGCAAGTTCTCCATATACAGAAAAGCTGGTCAAAAAAGGCCAGACTGCCCTTCAAGAGTTGACCTACAGCTTTTAAAAATACTTTTATTTATGAAAGTTGTTTTTTTACAAGCCTACAAGCTAAAAACATCACTAAGCAGAGGAAACAAAGTGCATTGACTTCACACTATTATGGCTTTTACAAATAAGGGATTGTTATTACTTAAGCCATGAGCAAAAATAAAAGGCACAGAGGTACACAGAAGTGGGATTAAGAATGCTAATGAGTTACTGATGTAATTGAGTGGTTTGTCAAGTATGTTTAATGTTCCATAACTTTTTCCAAACCTTCCTTTCAATTTTAAATAAAATGGCATCAAAATTCAGAATATTGTGTTAAATCTATCCCATGGAAACTGCTATCATTAAATATATAGGCCAATTTATAGATGGATACTGAATGAAAAAGCTGGTTTTCTGAAACTGAATGAACTTAACTCTGGCATAGGTTTCAGGCAAGTACGAATATATACTAAGCTTGCCTTCCTCTCTTTCTCTTGTTCTGGAATCTGGCAGGAAATAACCCATTTCCATTTCTCCCAGAAAAAAAATGAAAATATATGTTGATGAAAGAGAGAAGAATGACTTTGGGTCATAAAGTTAGTTGGTAAGAAACACACAACAACAAAATTCTCTAGCCAAGGTAGGTAATTGTGTCAACCTTTTAAAAATATAAATATACTGTGCTTCTAAACCTACATACCTAAAGCTGAAGGTTTAATACTCAACCTTAAACACATTTAACTAGGAAGTCTTATTGATTTGTGGCTTGCTATTAGGGCTAACTTCCAAATTGGTGTGTGCATGACAGCAGCCAAGCTGCCCAGCTGGGATGTAGGATCAAGTATGCACAACTAACTTGAACCACACCCATTTACAACATTATACATTTTATATGGTAGATAAATAATAGCATCAGTCATATCCAAAAACAACTTTTCAAGCTCCTTTCTGAGATACATTCTTGAGTTACAGTAGTTACCATAAAACTCCATGTACATAATTACAGAAATACAATCTGAAATATGAACATTACTTAAACTAATTTATTCATTTTGTGAACAGAACTATGCCAATTCCTTTGATTATCACTATTTTTTCAGTTGAGATTGTCTCTCATATCTGTGGCAAAAGGTTGTCATGACTAAATCAGTCTACTAAGTAATGCCATTGTTAACCACTTATCTTAAAAGCTAGTATTAGTTAACCACTTCTCATTAAATGTGTTGTAGGAAACCAAGACCCACACATAAAAGCTGAAAATACTCATGCACATATTACGTAAAGTTAAACCACTGGAAGGCCATTGTAAACTTTTAAGCACTTTAACTACTTAGCAGGTCTTGTTTTAAGAAGTTCACCCTGTTTAAATAATACTGTCTCTGTATGGCTCATTAACTTTTCACCTTGTCTTTTCTGCCTTGGGCTAGCACATTCTTCACCAAGGTGACTTGGAAGAGGCAGATAAAACCAGTCAGAATAAGCAGAAGCCTCCTTCCAAATGCAAATCCCTTTCCAAAATGGCAAAATAATACATACAAGTGGCTACAGTTGCGGTTCCCCTAATCTCAGGGCCTCCCTTGCTTCCAGGACTGTTCTGGGTAGCTGCAAACAGGTGGTTGGTGCTTGGAGCTCTTGGAATATTAACTATTTGGATGAGATGGCCACTGAATACGGCCCCCAGTACTTTGAAGAAGTCACTGGCTGACCATCTATTTGGTGGGTAGGTCAAAGAAATGCAAAAGACATTTTCAGGACAATCCCTGCCCCATGTGTGTTTGGTGAATGTGGAAGGGGGTAGTAACAAGATCACACTCTTGTACACTACGCATGCTTCGTCATAGTATAAAGATGTCCAATTTGCATACAAATTTGCATATGTATGTGTTCTCCATGTAAATGGGAATGCACAATCAGTGCCCACATTGATCTCTTTTCTCTACCCCCAAAGCTGCAGCCACTGGGGGCTGTGGACTGTGGGCATGCAGCATCCTCCAGACAGTTTCACTGCCATGCTGGGAAGGGTGGCTCCAAACGTGCTGTAGAACACCGGGTTTGTTCTTAGAAAATTTCTCAACTGAGTTTAGCTTTTACGTGTGCATTTGAAAGAATATATATACACATTAAGGTGGGCAACTACCTATTATACAGAGCAATGAATTCTATTACATAGGGAATTGACTCCATTATTCCCATAATAATGAAGTAAGTAAAGTAGTAAGTCCCCTACAGTAATGTTGGAGGCTTCCTTTCTGGCTCAGATTTGTAAAACAAAATGCCAAGTTTAAAGGATTGCCACTTAACTTTTTGAAAAAGTACAGTTAAATGGTAAAATTAAATCAATCAGAAACTTCTAGAGTGGGAAGGTTTTTACTAAAAGAAAAAAACATGAAGGCATGCGGGGGTGGGCGGGAGGTGAGAGTAAAGAATCCAGAGTAAGGCTCGTAACATATTCAGTGCCAGGAAGATTGTTTCACAAAAATACTGTACCCTCCCCAGATAACTTTCCCAATTATGCAAACTTGCAGTTGACTCTACAAAATAAGGTGATAATGTTGCCAAATTTGATGACTGGTGATATTATCATATTGCTTATGTGAGCCTGGAATATTCGGCTGTCTCAGGAGGAATCTCGTGTATAGAAATGACACCAAAGCTACAACTTAAGGAAAGCAACACATGTGAACAGTGTGTCAAAATACAGAGAAGGGACAATTAAGAACATTCTGTTCCTACAACCTCACCAGAACCCTTTGTCCCTAAAATTTTAATTGTCCAAGCTTTGGCAAAACCTTACTTTTGAGGCTTTGGATAACTTCACTGTTCTAAACCTTAACTAGATTATCTTTGACAAATGAAGAAGTTAATGAGCCAAGAAAGAAAATGACCTGAACAATCTGAAACTTACCCTGGCTAACTAATCAACTAAGAATGCAATCCTATGAACATTTAGACAGAAAAAGGCCTACAACCGCAAGCATTTCTCAGTCCTTTTTCTGCCCTAAACATGCATAGGGTTGTGCCCTAAAATTCTTCTCTTGCAACCAATGTAAAAATGAAATTTCTTGTCATTTCATTGTCCAAAAACTACCGTTTTCAAAAAATAGTTGTTTCTTTGTTCAAGAATAAAGCTGAAAGATCAAATTATTGGCAAAGATATCATAAAGATAATGTTACCACAGGATCAAACGGAACATATAATAGGTCAGCATGTTTTAAACCGTAACATGAAAGTCTTCTTTCTCAACTGTCTAATATACTGAGGAAGTTTCTCTCCCTTTCAGCTGCTTTTTGCCATGAAAGTAAATAGACTAAAACTACTGGCTGATCAAAAACTCAGCTGCATCTGGAGCCATACTTAAGCATCTGATTCTAAGTATCATTCAGTTAGATTTACATCTTGGTAACTGGGCTTGGGACATTACACATCCTAACAGGGTAAGGATAGAGGACTGAGCATGTTTACAAAGTTGCTTCAATTCAATGCTTACAGATATGCATTTGATAACTCTAAGCAGTAGTTAAGATAAACAGTAAAATAAATTCCCACAGATCGAAGCCAGGACAGTATAACAAGAAATGCCTATTTAAATAAATCTATCTTTGAAAAAAATGACCAGACTTCTTGTTTTTGTTTACATTAGTACAATCATATACAAATGAAACCTAAATGTAACTTGCATAAAATGAAAGCAGGAAATCAATATAAAATTACTCTTCTTTTAAAAATGCCTGAAGGAGAGATAGTAACATTAAAAAACTGAAAATGGCAACTCATTCAATACAAACTGTTGCTCAGTTCAAGCAACAACTGTTGGCAACATGAGTCCAAAATTTTCTGCACATTATGACCAGCTACAATTGCCAATGAGCAAAATGCACTTTATTCTTTCTCTCCCCCGCTCCACTTCTTTTTTAAAAGGAAGTGTTCCATTTCTTTATGAAACTGATTGTCAGAATACAGAGTCAACAGGCTTGGCAGAAACAAATTTGTGTTAAAAGCAGCAGAACTCTAGTCTGGATTATGTGTGGCATAACCCAATTTAAGCATTCTGAAACAGCAACCAGGGAGGGGCTGGGAAGCCTCTGCGTGCCACCTGCATCCCTCTGTGCCCAACTCTACTGCGCTGAGCAGGGACGACCACAGAGAAAGTTTAAGTGCATTTGGCTTATACTTCCCAGTTAAAGCGCCCCATTCTAATGCACTCCTAGTGTTATCTGCTGCTTTCAAACCTCAGGAAGAAAACCTGTTTCTTCTTGGCTTTTAATCTTCTAGGGTGTTGGAGTCAAACCCTGAACAGATTTGAAATGTACAATAGGTACTAATTACCAAAATATCACATCGTCCCTCATTTTAGTGGCTTTAAAAATGCTTTCTAGCCTTAATCCATTAAGGCCACAAACTAATTTTACAGAAACCAACATTTTCAAGTTAATACAGTGCAAAAGAGGCCAACAAGATTATGGCTAAATTCTCAATATGAACCCCTTATGCATTCTCTGAAATGTGGAAGCTTATTTTCTGTTTTGTCAAAGAACACTGGTGACCTTTAAGTACTGAATAAAACAACCCTTGGCTAACTGAGAAGGCCAACCGTAAGTCAGGTGTTTCCGTGCCTGCCTACAATCAAGTCTTTATAAGCCTTCAGATCACTATCCATAGTTTCAATGCCCCCAGATGGCCAGGCACTTCAATCATTTTCTCCAGTAAAATTAGCAACACTGATTTTGCTGAAGGGGGAAAAATGATATGACAGTAACTATGGTGCTTCTCCCAATACTTACATTTTAACTCTAGGAGACAATATGGATAGGTTTTGGTTTTTTTATGGGCCACAACAGAAAGTCCAACATTTTCAATAGAAACACATTCTTCACAGCTTTGATCTACATTCAGTAGTCTTGAAGGAATCGGATTTCTCTTGCAGAACGTACTGTTATTTTCAATGGATGACTGCTTCACCAGCATAAAATGTGAACAAATGTTTGAACCCCTCTGACTGGGACATGGAGTGTGTCTTCCAGTATGGCTCCTTAACAGAAACACAAGGAACTAAAACCAGAGCAGCATTTAATAACTTGGTTATTGTTGCTGTGAGGCCAAACCTTTTATCACTGTGTAATGCAATTTTCTCCCATGTCCTGAGCATAGCAGTCTGATATTATAGTCCTCAATTCATCGATATCTGTTCGCAACTGACACACCTCTGAGAGTTTCTTTGAGAGAGTTTCTGTGCTGTGGTAGTACTCATCCTCAGACGAGCTGTTCATCGCTGTGAGGAACAAAAAGTGTACAATAGTGAATGGAATCATCACATCAGCATTAATGCAGATCTTCATCCAACATAATGCATGAACCTGATCTTTTTTAAATATTTGGAATAAGAGGGACTGTGAGTTCTACCCTACTTTTGCAGAATTGTTTATTCTATTTACAGTCACAATATGATGCTTCTGCTCCTTCCAGCCAGAGACTAACTAGTTAGAAAAAAGAACAGGAAAGAAGTTCATGCAAGATGCATGTTGCCATACTTCCCTGTAGATTTTAGGTGCATGGAAAAGTCTCACAATTCTTCTATGTTTTCTACTGTCTGCATTTTCTTTCTGTCTGCCTGCGTATCTAAAATCATTTCTATGCTGCCATTTTCTTCTGTTCTGCTTGTTAAAGCGAAGTCTGATCTTGCATAGATAAACGGCAATTAGAAATAATACTGAAGTTGCTAAATGCCAAAACAAAAAAAAAAACACTAAATTATTTTTTCACATGGTAACTAGAAAATTCGTCAGTCTACTGCCTCTCCTTCACCCCCTCAGATTTTACTTAAACAGGGCATCTTCTCAATGTCAAAAAATACAGGATTTCTCTTTAGTCACACTACTTACATCTGATTCCCAGCAGTAAGGATAGGTTAGGCTCCTTGCCCTGAGCTCTATGGGTAAGAATACTGCAAAGTGCTTTCAAGTCAAACAAACAATGAGACATTTCCTTGAATAACTGATCAGCAATGGGCAGTTTTTCAGCCACTGGCTGTCTGGACTGTTCCATTTGATGAACCTGTTCCCTCAGAGATGCATTTTCTTCCATGAGTCTTTGGTTCTTCATTCAAGAGGGAGGAAAAGAAAGACAAAATGCCACATTTTATTCACGTGTTTTATTTGTAAGGAATGCTGCAATAAAGAATAGGCATACAAAAGCAACTAGCCCCAGCCTAAGTTCCAAGGGAAAGCATGTTCTAAGGCAGTATACTTCCAAGTACTAGGGTTGCTAGAGCAAAAGAAGAAAGGATGGCATGGGCAGCATTTCCTGCTTGTGAGCTTCCAGAGGGGTCTGACAGACAACTACTGGAAAAAATAACTACTGGAAAAAGAGGGCCAGACATGGTGGACGTTGCTTTACTCCAACAAATCCTGTTCACATTATGCTATATTAAACCTAGCTTAATTAATGTAGAAGATGGCTCAAACATATGAAGAGCCATGCTGGATCAGGCCAAGGGTCCTTCCAGTCCAGCATTTGGTTCACACAGTGGCCAACAGCTGCCCACTGGGAAGTCACAAGCAGAATGTGAGGGCAACAGCCCCCTCCCACCCATGCTCCCGAGCAAATGGTGCACACAGGCCTCTGATACTGGAAGCAGCATATAGCCACAAGGTCTAGCAGCCATTGGATTGCATGCAATCCAATACACAACAAATTATACTTATTAGCTTATTACAATTCAGCTCCACTCCACAAAAACTATGACTTGTGGAGTAAGGACAGAGCCTCACACATGTCTGAACATGTCAACCAGTACCACCGGCTCATCCATAAGTTAATGGTAAGGAATGATTATGCATTCCAACAATCAAGACATAATGTATCATCACTTACTAAACTAGTCTCCCAGATCTTGCAAGCATTATTTGTGCATATGATGATTTGATACAATGCACATCCAATTTGACGATTTAGGTCAGTGGCTAAGAGCCACAGAGCTATTTGGAAACAGTCAAAGATTAGGGCAACCCAGAAGGATTCATTTTTCCCTCTGAGCAGAAAATACTTCCCCTGACCCCCAAAACTCACAGAATGCTATGTCATAAATTGTTCTTATCCCCCATGCCCCCTCAGTGGGAAAAGCAAATTGTCCTCTAAGTCCAGAGGCAAAGGCCTGCAGCTTGGGAAACAGAGAGCAGAATTCAGTGGGGTGCTTACACCTCCGCTGATCTCCTACACTTGCTAATTCCCTTCTGCATGTGGGCCCCAATACTTATGGAAGTAAGAGTTAGCATTTCCAGGGCAACTGGAAACAAGTGACAAGGCTTGTTTCTGGAGCAGGCCAGGCCAGCAGAGTATGCATAAGGGAAATCTGCTGACCTGTCCCTGTAAAAAAAAGTGTTTCCAAATGCATCAGGGCTTCCTCTGGAAAGTGCTAAATCTCTACTGTGTAAGTGGTATAGACCACACGTGTAAGCGGTATAGACTCACTTGTGTGAGTCAGCATTCAGCTTCGGCTGATTCATCAGCTGCGTCCCTACCTGGAGAATGACTGCCTGGCAACAGTGACACACGTGTTGGTGTCTTCCCGACTAGACTTCTGTAATGCGCTCTATGTGGGGCTACCCTTGAAGATGGTCCTGATACTTCAATTGGTGCAAAGCAGAGCTGCCAGGTTGCTGACGGGGACGGGGCGTTGGGCTCGCATGACTCCTGTCCTCCGTCAGCTTCACTGGCTCCCCATGGAAGTCTGGGTCCAATTCAAGGTGTTGGTTATCACCTATAAAGCCCTTAACGGCTTGGGACCTGGTTACCTGAAGGAGCGCTTACGTCCATACGTGCCCTTCCACCCCTTGAGATCGGCAGCAGAGGCCCTTCTCCGGGAGCCCTCCGTGAAGGACATTAGAAGGGTGAGTACTTGGAGGAGGGCTTTCTCTGCGGTGGCGCCCAGCCTATGGAATGCGCTCCCCAGAGAGGTCCACCTGGCGCCGTCGTTATTTGCTTTTCGGCACCAGGCCAAGGCATTTTTATTTACACTTCATTTTAATTGTTGATTTTATTTACTGATTTTAACAATTTTGGCCAGGATGTTTCCGATTTTATATAATGGTATTAATGCTATGTATTTATTTATGTTTGTAAGCCGCCCCGAGGCTCCGGCGACTGGGGCGGCATATAGGTGTGCTAAATAAATAAATAAAATAATAAATAAATCTCTTTCAACAACCAACACTCGCAGTGTGGTTCTTTAGATCCTAACCTGTATGTGCAAAACCCTCCTGTTGCTACATGAACCATAAGCCCCTATATTCAGGATCCTATGCTACATATACCATACCCACTTATATTGTGCTGTAAAGAACTCTGGATCAGGTCCAGTGTTTCTTAGGGGAAGCATTACTTCTCCTTCCCATGTCTTGAAATTATATTTCATTTCTTCCTATCGCATTTTGTGATGTATAAAAAACAAGAAACAGAATGTAGGCAGTTGGTTGAATTTGGTTCAGAGTAAGCGATCTCAAAAACTTACTTCAAGCAGAGTCTTCTGTAACTGCTGTATACTTTTATCCTTTTCTTCAAGTTCATTTTTCTGTTTTTGAATTGTCAGTTTTCCTTGCAAAAATTGATCTTGCATAGACTGAGGGTCAGAGAGAAAGAAGAAACTTTGTCTTAACAAATGTGGGACTAGAAGGCCTGATATGTCAAATGCTGCCTGCACTGTTATCTGTGATACACACTTGTTTTTGTCACCTTTCTGCATGCTGTTCTGGCTACCAGTTTCTGGAGCTAAGCAGGTGTCTCTGAGTCAACCCAACACATAGTGGGTGCTAAGGTGTTCCCTACTGCTGGCTTGATGGAGGCACGTACTTCTGTTCAACTGCAGAGGAAGTCTCATCAAGTTCTTCCTGTAGAAAAGGCAGGTAGTGAGCATTTTGGCTTCAGCCTATGCTCAGTGAAGGGACTCTACTGGGGGAACAACTGAGGAAGTGCTGCCCCCCAGGCTGGAGCCATAGTTTGGCAGTGGGATGAAAAGCCACTGTCAGCAAAGCACTTGCTCTTTTCTGCACAACATCCATGTTTCTCTTGTAGGGCAAATTTAGCACTGCTCAGTAGCAATGGCAGATGCCATGCTCCTAGCTCTTTTCTCCAGAAAAGTGAGGGTAGGAACATGTTCTTCACAGCAGCCAAGAGGCCCCTGGAGCAGGAGAGGGTCAGGTTCTTGCTGATTTGGCCAAGGCACTCCAAGGCCTTGGCCACACAGGTGCTAAACCATGCACCAATTTCCTCTTGATCTTACAGATGAAGAAGGCATGATGGCAGCTGCAAAACTGCTGGGATGATTCCTGCCCACCTCTGCAACTTCAAAGTTGTAAGGAAGGGTTATTGCAAGTCACTGCAGGGTGGTGATTTGCTCATCATGGCAAGCATAATCGCTGAAGACCAATTTGTTTAATATTTGCTCAGAGGGAAAAGGAAGCTACAGATTTTAATATTCCCAGAATGAAGATTTTGACAGTCTTCTGATTCTAATAATCCTGTTCATGGGAATGCAATCTGAACATCTGATGGAGTTTTCTCTACAGTATTTAAGCAATGGAGTGGTCCTCCAGATGTTTATCTCCTATCCGTTATAGATAATTGTGAGGGATAATGCGAGGTGCAGGACAAGCATCTGGAAGGCCACAAGTTTCTTGCTTTTGATCTAGCTGATGCACAGGGCCTTTGCTTAGAAAACTTAGGTTGCTGAGATGGGACAAGGTAGAGTTTGTTCTTGTACTATAAGAATCAAGAACCGGGGTCACCCATTCAAATTCAACATTCAACATGCACAGCTCATCATTTCTGCCCATTCTAAACACATTCTAGCCATCAAAATCATGCCAGGATACCTTGTTTTTCTAACCCTAACCCTACCCTGGTGCACACCCCTAACCCTAATACAGGGATAAAATTCCACTGAAAAGAGAGGGATTTTGAAAAAGCCTTCCTTGAGTAGCTGTTTCTGCACAGCTCAACATTTCTGCCCATTCTAAACACATTCCAACCATCAAAATCATGCCAGGACACCTCGTTTTTCTAACCCTAACCCAGTGATGGTAAACCTTTTAGAGACCAAGTACCCAAACTGCTATCCAAAACCCACTGGTTTATTGCAGAGTGCCAACACTACAATAAAACCTGAAAACTGAGGTTTTAGTTTTGAAAAAAAAAAAAAAACAACTCACAGCCAGTCCAAGCAAATATATCTATCTATCTATCCTTGGCAGTGCACTGACCGGCCATGCAAAAGCTTGGCTGAGTCGCGGCTAATGAGTCACAGCTTGTGATGCCATTGCCTGGTGCCGCTACCCCTCTCCGAGCATGTGCATGGCCCCTATGTGCCCTGTTATCCGATGCTCGGCTGCTGGGGCGATGCTGGGGCAACTTGGCTCACATGCCGACAGAGAGGGCTCTGCATGCCCGCTGTGGCACGTGTGCCATAAGTTCGCCACCACTGCTCTAGAGATTCAGGATGATTCTAAGGACATCATTATGTTGATGCATTGTGAATGAAAGGGTGTTAGGGCTTTGGACCTCCTCCCCCAGTATGTCTCCCTAGTAACAGCCTTGATTTTATTTGGGTTCAACTTCCTCCCTGCCCAAAGGAATAGATACATGCCTAATATGTATCAATCATCTCTGAAGACAAGCACTGCTGGATTCAGAAAAGGAAGATCTATCCATCTGTTCAGATTTTATTTTAGAAAGAGGTTGAAATTAACTGAAAAATACCACCAATGAATTTTAAATAGAATTCTACTGCACAGTCTAAAATTATTGTTTAATGCACTCTGTTCCAAACTTTCTATTTTTATCATGTACCACCACTACTAAGTGTCAATTTTATGTTAATTAAATTATGACTAGTAGGTTGGAATTCTTTTCAAGTCTAGACTTCCATTGTTAAAAACTTAGCAAAACCTCACACCCTAGGACCAGCTACCAGTTTTGCATCTCAGTTCTTATCATAAATCCTTGCTGGCTTTTGATAGTTTCATAGATGGCAAAAATAACAGTTCTGATTGTTCATATAAACGAATTCCTTCTCATTCCCTGACAGCAGAAGAACAATTACTTTGGACTGGAAAAGCTTATTCCCCATCCATGAATGCTACAGCGTAACAAGGCACAGTTGGGAGTAATGAGAATCTCCTGACTTCAACAGTCTCAGCTTCCCTCTGAAAAAACAAACAGGAAAGGAAAATAGGAATAGACCTGCTTCTATAAGAAAGCAGATTTTTTAGAAGCAGATCTGTTCCTGTTTCTTTTCCTTGCAGAACTTACCCCTTCTCTGTAGGTCTTCCCTGGGTTTTTCCCTCTACCCAGCAAAGTCCATCTCAGAGTCTGCTGCCTACTCTGAATTCTAGTTCCTTGTTGAACAAGTGTTGCTTGTTCGCCTACTGCTGCTTATCTCCGTGGCTGCTGCCTCTGTGCCAGACCTCTTCTTGCCTTGCTTTCTCTTCCCTAGACTCATTTAAGTTCTACCTCTTTATCTACTCTTATTCTTTACAGGCTTATGCTGAGACAGGGACTAAATGCCAAATTCACACGCTCATACATTTGCATGGGAGTTTCAGCACTTCAATTCTGGTTTCTCTAAACTAAGCTTTGTGTTACATTTAAAATGGGGAATTATGGTTTAATATCAGTTTACTAAATAGGATCAGAAACTAGGATCACATTATAGTTTGAGACAGCAGTTAGTAACAAACAAACAGTAATCTGACATTAAATCATATTTTCTTATTTCGGATGTGACAAGGAATCAAACTACAGCTTAAAGATATGTTAACTCATCACCAAAATTGTACACAAAGGACAGAGAAGACGGGACCTAAGTCAATGCTCAGCTCATTCTCAAATTAATAAAGTAGAATTTATTAAGTTGGGCTCATTACAGCCAAACCGGCCCAAAAATGTTAGCAATGCAATGAAAGAAAAGTTTGGTCTGGTCTCTATTTTACTGTTGCCATACATGTGCTTTAAAGCACATACTTGAATGGCTGACTACAACCACTGCATCATGTAGTGAGTGCCATCACAAGGAATAATTGAAAGGAGCCTCCCACTTTCAGTCAGAACATGTTGTACTCCAGCCCTCAAGTCATGTTAAGGTGACAGAACGCCAAGTCTTTACATGGCGTGTTTTGGATTGCTATATCAATTTCTGTCACTTCATCATCATCATCTTCATTAATTCATCACGCTCTCCTATAGGACAATTTTCCATGTGTAACTGCTGACCAGTGAGAAACACTTCATACACTACACACTAACCTGGTTCACACAATACAACAGCCTACCAGAGCTTACTGTAGCGATGCAGGTTCCTGCTTCATATGTCTGTTAGTGTCTTTTTGGATACTGTGCATGCTTGCCCCATTTGTACTACTGCTCAAGCGCACTGACAGTCCCGTTAATGAATGGTGGGGAAGGAAATCCAGACACACTAGCAGTGCTGTACTATTCTTTTACCACTATGTGGCATGACTCCATCATGCAATATAGATGGTGCTTGTTATTGTGCACCAACAGAGTTACTTTAGCAGGTGTAATCATGCCCCCCTTCCACAGTGTTAAAAGGTACTGTAGGTAGCTACATACACCTTCTGGTGTCAACATTAAACAAGAAATTCTATCCACCCTTCACTGACAGACCTAAGGCATTCTGACAGAAATTCGGCTAGGTCACAGTGGTGGGACCTCAATTTTACTTCTTAAGAGGCTTTTTTCCTTCCCCAGCTTGCTGAGCTTATGCTAGTCCCCAGCTCATGGTATTGATTTATCCAGGGCACTTTTCTTCAGCCCTAGAAACCACAAGGTGGATTACAAATAAAACATAAAAACAATAATTAAAATACAAAATAATAGATTAAAATCTTGCTCGCTTATGAAGCACAAATGTCCATTTTTTAACAAAGAAGATGCATCTTCTTGCTTTGTGAGGCTAAGATTAAATCCCAGAAAACCACATTTCATTACCTGAATTTCTAAAGTAAGTGCAGCGATCTGATTCTGTTGATTGTCTATGACCTGTTGAGAAAAGAACAGAAAATGTTATTCCTATTTCTTATGTATCAAAATGTTCATATTTCTGATTCATCAGCCACAGTTTGATTGAATAAATTGTCTTATTTCATGAGTCTTACTTTTACAAAACAAACAAACACGATCTTGTAGGACTGGGTTTGGAAACAGTAAAGCAGAAAAGCAGGTAAGAAGGTTCATTGGTGCAACTGCTAGTGGTGCTGAGAGGCAAATGAGTAAAAATAAAAGCAATGGTTCGAAAATGCAGCAGGGGCAGATGAGGCATCAGCTGGCATTATAGTAAGTGCAAAGATGCTAACTGGCTAGCAGACATCAGGGCAGGCAACTTGCCAGACAGCAAAGGCATGTCTGCAGGGTCGTGACTAAAATGGGTGCTCTTCTTCACCACTGCCTCTCATTTATTTGTGGATATGTTTTCCTCTCTTCCCTTGGTTACCCCTGCAGCAGCTCATGCTGCTGGCAACACTTAAACATAAATAACAATCTGACACAGTACAGGGTGTTGTTCATGTGCAAGCTCCAAACAGCTTGGAACCAGGTTATCTTGGGGACTGCCTCATGCTTATGTCCCTGCCAGACCTCTGCCATCATCAGAGGCAGCACTCCTGAGGGTACAACAGTGGCACTTGCAGTACGGTATTCAGTGCTGTAGGACTCCTCTCTGGAACACTTTACGAATAGGCATGAGGCAGCCCCCACCCACACCCACACCCATCCCCAGTACTGAGGCTCAGTTGCTGTCTTAAAGCTCATCTCTTCATTTATTTATTTAAAACTTTTGTATGCTGTCCTATATATAAATATCTCAGGACGGCTACAGCAATTTTTACAAGGCTTTCCCTGAAGTTTGACTTAGTCAGGTATGGTTTGAAGCAAGCAGAACAGTGTATGGCTTTCCTACTGGTTAATTTGTATTTTGTTGTATTCACTGTTGGATTTACAGATGTTTTTATGCCATTATGTTTACCACTCTGACACCTTTGTGGAAATGAGTACATGAATGTGAATAATTAAGACATAAACACAGAGACAGTCAGCATTGTGGCCTAAAGTTGTAACGATTTTGCTAGGGATATTTAAACAATTTGATGTACTGACCTTGCTGGCTTTTTCATTTTCCTCTTTGAGGCTTTCATTGTCACTCTGAAGTTGTTTTGTGTCTAACATAGGAAGGCGAATACCATCTTCCAGGCATTTTTCTACTTTCTGTTGTAGGCTGTAGTTTGGATTTCAGAATGCAGAAACACAAACGAACAAGAACACTGTAAATATCATACCAATACCCAAGACTCGAATGTTGTGTAGTACGTGTTGTTCAGAAAAGCACTTTTTGACATAACTCCAGAAACAAAACAGTCCAAGATTCCATTTATAAATTAATCCCTGCAAGTTCTGTGGATAATTCAGGCTGCCACAATGGCCCTACTTAAACATAACACAAAGCCAAAATGCAGCATTACAGACAAGCCTCTGCAAGCCCAAACTAGATCTTATGCAAGTAATCCTAAAGGTTTGTGTATGTAATATGAAATGCCAACTTAGCATCATGGGCAAATGGGGGTTATAGTCTTTACATATTTGGGATACTAGTTTCATTTGCCAAAATGAACCTGTGGATATCAAATCACAAGAAACCATTGGAAAATTATCAAAACTTTTAACCATTTACAGACAGGCAAACTCAAGTGGCTGACTGGATTTATAATACAAGTGAGTGGATGTTTAATAATAACTGTTCACATGGAGCCAGTTTAAATTCTTTCAGGTTTCTTCTTTCTGGGAGGGTCAGGTATGTTTTTTAAAGAAGGGGGAAATCCAGCAGGCATATTAAAATGCTTTGTCAGTTTTCTACTCTTGACTGTTTTTCTGACAGAAGCCTCTTGCTTTATTTTGCAAACTGGGATGGCTGTACTTGCCTTTCTTTTGTGACTAAATCTGCAAATGTCAATGACCATGTGTTATTCTGCTTCAAGTGAAAAGCAGGTAGTGGTAGTTACAAGTCTTGTAACTTTCTGGCCAATGTGCTTTTTCATCTTCTTAGGTTAATCTTTCTCTGTGGCTGTTGTAGCCCAATGCAGTACAGAGAAGACTCCCTGCATTTCCTGAGACTTACTGTCAAGTTAGGTTGCCTAGGATTGCAGGTAGTGGTAGGGAAAACGGTCTGGCAACTTTATTTCAGGATGGTTTTGCTTGGGTAACTCAATGATAAGCATTTAATTCAAAAACATTCTGAGATTCTGTTCTGAGATCCTAGTTTCAGTTTCCAGTATCTGACACCAGTAAGCCTTGAATACAGCATATAAAAGGAGAGACATCCATCATAGCAGCCAATGTCTGCTATGTCAGCTTTGGCAAAGAACAGGAAGTTGTAGGATTTTTTGACATTTGGGCATTCGAAACACATGGAAGGTTATAGCACAAGCCTCAGATTCAAGTGTGGTCATGCTTATTTTTTCCTTTAATACTTTCAGGTATTTGAAATTAGAGCATTTGAGAATTTTAAAAATGAGGGGAGAGGAGAGAGAGAGAATGCTGATTGTTTTGCCTTTGTGCAAAAGATGCTCTGCACATACTTACAAGGTTTCAGATTTTAACATGCTTAGTATCAAATTAAGCCCTGAATATGAGGAGACAGAAAGGAGGAGAAACAGATGTCTATTTTGCTCTGCAAAGGCACATTATGTGAACAGCTTTATATTGTAAAATACATTATGAGTTCAGCCAAAAAGTGGGTTTGTTATTATTAGCTACTCAGATTATTTGAAGGGATGGTAAATGCAAGCTTCTTAAGTAGGTTTTCCTGTTTGCTTCTTTTTCCTCATTTTGGGAAGGATAATTGCTGCTTTAAAGTCTGTAACCTTTGGCAATCTTCATTTTAATCTAACCTTACCAAAAGTTATTTTTATTACTAATATGCAAGAACTGGATTTTCTTGGTGATGAAAATGCCCATCCCCCATCATTATAGCTGGTCAAACTGGCTACTAAAATGTATTCCGTGGGCTACTGTCTCCAGTGCAAAAATTTGCAGGTTTGTCTGAGATCATAAAAACATGGAAGAAGTCACTCCTAACTGACCAAAGTTCAACACAGTTCATGTGTCAGCTACTGAGTGACTATAGCATGTAGCTCTCCCTCCTATGAAAAGGACAAAATAAAGGCATGTATGTGTACGTAACATAAATGTTGCCTTAGAATTAAATCTCAGAAATGCTTGCCATTCACAGGTCTAATCTAGCCCTTCAATGACATAAAAATTCTGCAGCAGTGAAGAATCATACCTTTGCTTCCCCTCATATTTCAAAAATAAGCATATATATGATGACAATGACAATTGTTATTTAAATTTAGAAACAAGACTGTGTCTCAAATATTTGTAGACTTTCAGAGAGTAAAAGCCAGACTGGTGGATAACACACACACACAATTACAAGAGGTACCAGATGTAAGATGGAAACAATGCACTCAGTGATTTGGCTAACTGTCTCAAATACGTAACCTTTCATCATTAGAACAAAGTGTTTGTGGCATGAACCTTTAGCAACAGAGGGTCATGAACTGAAATGCCACATTAGAAATTAGGCTATTAGAAATATATTGTAGTCATTCTACAACCACTTTTGTTGTTGCCACGAGCTAGGTTTCTTCCCTTTGCACATTCAAATCCAAAAATTTTTCTTTGCAAAAAGTTCTTTATTCATCAAAGTGTTTTCCATGAAGCACAATCATCCAGAGGTTCTTCTGGACCTCTCAGCGGCTTTCGATACCATCGACCATGGTATCCTTCTGGATAGGCTAGCGGGATTGGGGGTCGGAGGCACTGCTTTGCAGTGGTTCCGCTCCTATCTCAATGGCCGGTTCCAGAAGGTGGTGCAGGGGGACTATGGCTCTGCGCCATGGCAGCTATGCCATGGAGTACCGCAGGGGTCCATTTTGTCCCCCTTGCTGTTCAACATCTACATGAAACCGCTGGGAGAGGTCATCAGGAGGT